TAAAGGATGTTTCAAAGGAATCAGATTAAATGGTTTTGAAATCATCATTAGAACTTCAAGTGATATGAAAATATAATAAGCAAAGAAAATATTACAATATAAAGGTACCAAGTCAATGATTGAAAACTTAAAATAAGGTCCATTTTTTAGGACTGGCAAGATGAACAGGCTAAATTAGATGCTCACTTGGTTGATGCCATTGTGGAACCTCAGTATGAAGAGGTTATGGAGGGGCTCCAGCCTGTAACCGAAGAAGTTGAATTGGATGGTGATGAAAGTGTTGCTGAATCCATTCCAGCTGAACCTGAGATAGTAGAAGGAGAAGAAGAATAAATGTTACACTCAATAATATTATTACATTTCAATATTTACATTACTTGCTATCCTCCAAGTAGAGGTGATTTTATGACTTTGGAGTTATAAATTTTTGGTCAATTTCTATGACCATTTAAGTATTTTATTTTGCTTTTGACACTTTATGAAGGTTATTGTACCTTTTGCTATTTGAAGTTCATTTTATTACTTTTATAAGACTTATTTAAAATTATTATTCCTAATATCTTGCATAAGGAGAATGTTTTTTAAAATCTGTTTTAATATTACTCTATGAAATTTTCTTTATACACTTAGATGATAGTCATTCAAAATTATTTTTGTCAAGTGTGCTTTTTTCAGATTACATGTTGAAAACCTTAATTTAGTATAATGAACAGTTCAGGAAAAGAAAACTAATTACAAATGTATTTCGCTCTAAATAATGTAAATTTTTAGTTTTTTATCATCACTATCAAATGTTAAGTTTTGTAATTTTGTAAAATAATATGTTTAAAATCTGAACTAGACTAAGTAGGTTTTGATTATTTAAATTTTAAACAGCATTTGTAAAACTCTTCAATAATTTTTCATAGATTTGCAATATGGATTAGATTTATTTTAAAATTAAAAATAGACCTCTTACTAATCATATATGGCCAATATATTCCTCTATAATTGTCAGCTACCCATTTTATTTAAAAAGTGTCTTTTTAATGATCAGCCAATTTGATAATCTAATCTTAAATAAGCAATACTTACCTTAGGACATTTTTAATTTCTCATGTATAGAATTATTATTCTTAATTTAAAAGTTGTTTTTTTTCAAATTGAAATGTGCAGATTGATCACAAGAAAACATCTAAACAACTTTTTTTTTTTTAAACAGCTATTAATGTGATCTTACATTTACACAAAAATAAAATTTTGATTTGGTTTTTTTGCAGGAAAAAGATGATAATAGGATAAACAGTGATGAAGTATGTGGAGAAGTATTCTTATGTTTTATATTGTAAACATGAGGCATAATTAAACCATACTAGTAATGTATAGTCTATTTATGGAACTTCTGATTCCAGTATTTTTAAGAGATGTGCCTTTTGTTGGTAACCATTTTTAATACCTATGAAGGTTATTATCATCTTATTGATGCAAATAACGTTTACGGCCTGTTCCATAATTATGTAAAATAAGATATTGCAATAAAGAAATAACTGATTTTTTTAGTTTGACCATTCATCTTAATTTAATGAATGTTCTCGTTATCCTTTTACTCATTCTCAATTTAGTTTATTTATTTTGATAGCAGCTTTTATTCTATAAATTTACAGAAATTTAAAGAATTGTGACAATAAATTCTTTTTTTTTTTTATTTCAGGATTCAGAAAAGAAAGATTAGAATACCTAATGATATCAACACCAAAAGCATTAGCAAACACTTGTAAAATAAAACAAAGAAGACTTAACTGGAGCTATTGAGTTGCATCAATTTTACAGGAAATCATTAGAAAAAGATGATGAACCATAGGCAGCAAAAGTTTATAACTGAAAGTTATTATAAATAAATATGGTTTGCTTAAATAAGTTGATCCCTTTGTTAATATTTAAATAGTTATTGAAGATCTTAATTGAAATTGTTTATCAAATTTTTTATTTATAGAAAAATTTTCTTAGAAGAACTGTAATTTCTATCTACCAGTAACTGTTAAATTGAAGTGAATATGCTTGAATCGTAAAACTTATGTTGCCTAAATTGTTAAAATAAGCAAACTTTATTGAATGTCTCTAAATAAAATTTCTTGCTAACAATAAGAATGACTTAAAAGCACAATTTTAAACTTTAATTTAAGGTGCCACAAAAAATATATTTAATTTGTAATTTAGAATCTCAGCAAATATTATCGTTCACAGATATATCATTTTTCATAAATTTTGTCAATGACTTACCTGAGGTTAAGTTAACAGCCCACTGAATACATTAGAGGTAAATAAAATGAAACTCAAGAACAGTATATAAAAATAATTGTTGTTCATTGTGATGTTTGAATGGCTAGAATGTGTTTGTATGCATGCTAACAGAATGTTCATAAATGATTATTGATTTGAGTAAATTAATTTATAAAGTGTTACCATGTTGAAAAACCTTTGACATTTTAGTATCTTTACGTGGGTGTCCATTCCTACAGTTGCTTCTCAGCTTATTCTACAGGTAACTGCACAATTTATTTTATAAATTTATATGATCTATATACAGTGTGACCTCATGAGATATTATTGGACTTTGTGCTGTAAGAATTTTTACACAACTTTATCTCATGTTTCATATTTTATTCATTTTAACGATAGATCTGAGAGAGCGAGTTTTGTACAATAAAATACACTTTTCATTACACTTATTGTTGAAACTGTCATCTTTTAATGATAAAAGATTGGGCAAGAATAATCTTCATAAAAAATAGACAGTTGAGATATTTTAACTTTTAGTAGCCTACACTATGTTGACTGCCTTTCAGAAAACAACAGTTACAAATTTTGCCAATTAGTTATTTGTTTTCTGGATGAAATAAATTTGTAACATACTATATCATCACTTTGTTTACATGTGTGATTTCTGTATTTAAAAATACAATTTGTTTAAAATTTTAATGCATCTATATTTAATCCAAAATATCAATGATGTACAATGGAAAATACAGCAAAAAAAACAGGGTTAGGTCATGGCGTGAACTTGAATAAAATGTGACAAAATACTAAATACATACAGCAAATACAGATGTAGTATGTTCTGCTGTTTTTGTATTTTTAAATAACTTCATTTTCCTATAATTCTTTAGAAATGATGGCTAAAGTACAAAAATTCCCCAAACATTTTCAAAAGATTTGTTGCAAGCACTAGAAAATAAGAACACATTTAGCTTGTCCAGCACTCTGTGGCTAATTGGGCAAACATTTATTTACACATTACCCTGCACTCTACTAAACATTTATTTGCACATTACCCTGCACTCTACCAACTTTTTAGCATTATGAAAGCTGATGCTCTGTGATTTACCTTTAATCCAAGGACTCAAATTTTGTTGTGACCTCCCTTGTTTTTGCCACATAGTGCAGTAGCAGGAATGAAATGTGTCATGAAAAGCTTTTTAAGGCCCAGTGTATGTGCAAGGTGGGTTAAGGGAGTCAATGTCCCAGTCCCCAGCTTTGGGGGGGGGGGAGGAGGAGGGGGGGGGGGTCTCCTCTTAATTATGCTGATTTATAATAATTTAAATGGATTTTTCAATACCAAAGGTATCCCAGTGTATGTGCAAGGTGGGTTAAGGGAGTCAATGTCCCAGTCCCCAGCTTTGGGGGGGGGGGAGGAGGAGGGGGGGAGAGTCTCCTCTTAATTATGCTGATTTATAATAATTTAAATGGATTTCATAACAAAGTGACCATAAAATGTATTCAGCATTGTAGAATCTAAATTAATTGTGTCTGCCACTTTACACATATCGTCACAAAAAATGCTATTCCATATAAAGATGTACAAAATTGTCAATTGACTTGAGCTTATGTGCTGTTCATTTGTTTAAACAGCATAAAAATATTTCAAGAACTTCACCACCAGTGAATGGATGCAAAAAACAACTTTAAATGGGTGTCAGGCGAACTTGATATCTATTGCCTGCTTCCATCAGGGTCCATCTCATACTGTTCAGCTCCAGGTTCCTGAACATCTTCCATGGTCTAATTTTCCCTGATCTTATAACTTATAGTGTTGCTTCTTTTTCGTTCAACATGTGTGATGATGAGAGCAACTCTTTCTTGTGACAAATAACTTTTTTGAAAGAATTTTTTTTTGTAAATTCATCTATTCATATAGTGTACAAATTAATAGTTTGAATGAAAAAAATTTCACACAACATTAAGCCTACAATTTAGAAACAACTAAAAATAAGGTATTTGTTTAAACATAACCAGGCCCAGGTAAATGGAACCAAAATTTCCTTTAGCATGCCTTATCTTGCTCACTAATTAAGTGCAGAATAATTCAAAATTAAATTTCGGTTAGCCCCAAATTGCATCATGCATTCCTGCATTTTGAATTTATCAAACATTTTCTAGGGCCTTTGGCTCCCTCCCTGATCAAAGAGATAGTATCATCACTTTCTTCATCGAAAAAAACAACAATTAAAATGATGTTTCTTGAACTTACCAAGCTGAACTAAAAGATTTCAGGGGAGAAACTAACCTATAACCAAAAGCAGCCCTCAGCGTCAGAGCTTGGGATGTCAGAGCGGGGCAAAATTATGCCTAATTTTGGCACTAATAGATATCCCGTCCCTTCTAGGATGCTTAAGTTTCATCTTTTTTACTCTGTGCTGAGTCGCGAGCCCATTTTGATGATGTTTCTAAATGTGCGTCTTTACTATAGCATCAGTAATCTACCAGTTAGTCCAGTTCCTCCCTTATTATTTTCATTTTATCATTTGTTGAGTTAGTTTCATGAGACTAATAAAAGCACAAATTTAATAGCTGTAGACACTGTACTGTATGGTAATGTTGTCTGTGTTGACAGAGTTGAATAAAGTTTCAATAATAGTTATGACATTTAAAAAAATTAATTACATTAATAAGATACAAATTATTCTAAATGATAATTGCGAAACCAATTTTAATCAAATCCCTCTTCATGGAAAAGAAATTGTAAGTGTCATCATTTATAAACATGGCATCCGAGATACGTGACACGTCTACGATTTGCTTATTTGACGTTGATGGTACTTTAACCCCGTCTCGACAGGTAGGATTACATTATAAAATAAAACTATATATATATTTCACTGAACCAATCAACCTGTTTTGTTGTTGTTGTTTTTTTCTTTTCTTATACATTGTACTATTCCGGGCCGTACCGGCATTTTGCTGTTTCACAGTCTCAATCAGTGACTGAGACTGTGACTCTGTTTCCTTGCCTTGGGTTGAGATTATGAGAGGAACTACCTTTCTCCTGCTTTTTTTCTATTCCCTGTGATTCTACATTTCAGCTGATTTTTCTAAATTTTACTCTTTGTTAGTACCGTTAGATAAAGAAGGGTTCTCTTCTTCTTTTTCTATATATTAAGGGCCCATGATCAATTTATTGATCATTTTGACTCCTAGCCATGTAGTGGGGATTTGCAATGATTCTATGCCTGGTGTTAATGAGTATATTTCACTGGTTGCAAGGGCTACTTTGTGAGGGTATCAATAGTATCATTCACTGGAGGTTGGAAGGCCAGAGGCAATAGACGCAAATGTGTCAAGTGTTGTTGCCTCAACTGTTCCTTTTGAAAGCTTGTTCTAGTCACTGATTGTCTTTGGCAGGAATGAGTAGTTCCTTTACTGGCTTCTCACTGGTATGAGCTGTAACTGCCTGTCATGGCCTTGTCACTGTCTATGGGGTAGAGGAACGAGTTTCTGTTTCATGCTGGAGCTGTGGACCAGCCCATTATTTATTTTGTACATCATGGAGAGTCGTCGTCGTTGTTCCTTCATAAGTGACCAGCCCAGTGTTTCAAGCATGCTGCCAACACTAGAGGTATTCCTGTAGCAGCTCAGGACAAAGTGTACTGCTTGTCGCTGGACCACCTCCAACCTGTCGATGCTCTTCTGAGTAAATGGGTCCCAGACTGAAGATGCATAATTTAAAAGCAGACGGAAAAAGACTTTATAGGCTCTTTCTTTCACACTGGAGTTGCCGATCTTTAGATTACTCCTTAAGAACCCCAGGGTCTTGTTTGCCTGGTTGCACAGATTGTTAATATGCTTGTCCCAGCAGACCTCTCTTTGAATGGTAACACCCAGGTACCTTACGGAGGAAACTGGATTAAGTATATGGCCAAGCAGTTCATGGAGTGTAGAGGAGTACAACTTCTAGAAACTGACAGTGTCTGGCACTTGGCAGGATGAAATTCCATGTCCCAGCTCATCTCCCACTTAGCTAACTGATTGAGATCCTGTTGTAGCTGGTCCTGGTCAGTTCTGTTGGGGATCGTCCTATACACTGCCGTGTCATCTGTGAACAGTATTGCTTGGGATGTCAGTTTCTCAGGTCGGTCATTGATGTATGCTAGGAACAAACAGGGGCCTAGCACTGATTCCTGGGGGACCCCTGACTTAACTCCGACAAAGGAGGCGCTTGTACCGTCCACCACTACTGCTTGTCATCTGTTGCTGAGGAAGCTAGAGATCCATGATTTAATGGTGCCTTGGATCCCATATCTCTGAAGTTTGAGTAGAAGCTTACTATGATTGACACTGTCAAATGCGTTTGTTGACAGTCATTGAGTATATTTTGGCTTTCAAGATGCTTCATGACTACGCCTACGATTATGTGCTCCAACAGTTTGCATACTATGCTGGTGAGGGATATCGGACGATAGTTGGCAGGGTTGGAATTTGCCCCTTTCTTGTTGATTGGAGTAGATTTCATGTTGACACTTTTGTTGTGTCCCTTTTTTTTCAGGCTTTCTCCTACCTTTTTGAACTTGTTTGAGAATGAATATATGTTAATCTGACTTGTAATGTACCAATTGTTCTAGAGATTTCAGTGTTAGTGTTAGTATTAGTATGACTCCAATGTTCAATATTTCTGTCTAACATTTTTATTCAAACAGCCAACATATTAGGCAGGTTCAAATGCTAGTGTCAAGAAATGTGCATCCTAATTAAGCTGAATCCACATTCTTTGGCAATTTCCTATTTCAGAACTACTTTTTTTTTCATCACAGCTAATTATTTTTAAGAGAAAATAAACTTTTCCTATCCAAATCTCTAAAAGCTTAATGTCAAAATTTAAAAGAATCAACATCTTCATCCTTTACTTAATCAATGCTTTCTATCTTTCTATCTAAAAAGCTAATTTAAAATAATTGTCCATTTTTCTGTTGAAATAGTTTTCTCTGCTCTACGATAAGTTTTTAAACAATTTTTTTAAAAATGTATTGTCCTTTTGGTTCTCTTACTGGTGTGCTCTGGTTTTCCCTATAGTAATTAATGTTAGCTCTACACTTTACAACAATTTAGAAAACATCTTTTGTAAATTTTTATTATTTTTCAAAAATGTTATTTTCATAAATGTACAGCTTGTTAAACCACATGTAGAAGAATTTCTACAGCAGCTCAAGCAAAAAGTCCTTGTTGGTCTGGTTGGGGGATCTGATTTTGTCAAGATAGCTGAACAAATGGGAGGACACAAAGATTGTAAGAGCATGCTAAAAATAATTTAAAAGTTATTTTTCACAACAGATTTTTAATTATATATTTTTATAAATGTTAGATAAATTTAATGAATAGACTTATTATTCCGTTATGTCCCATCTTTAATTGCTACTGTAATTATGTCAATAACGCCTCTTATTGACACTGCCTCTTCTTACACTTTCTGGTTAAACCTATGTTGCTATTTTCTTAGTCTCTCCCTGGTTTTAATTTTATCTCATGAGATAAAAAGAAGTGGATTTTTTTTATTTGAGGAATATTCTTTTTTTTTTTTACAGTGTTAAATCGCTTTGACTATGTGTTTGCAGAAAATGGACTGGTTGCGTATAAAGGAACTACTCAAATAGGTCAACAGGTGAAGTTTTTATAAAGTTGTAGTTGACGAGTTAGAAAGAAATGGTTGAGAGCAAGCTTAAAAGATTGTTTTATTTGAACAAATTCTAAATATAAATACTGATGTTTTCTTGAATACATATACGAGTATTTCGTAATTTTGAAAGCTTATTATCTTTTAAGTAAGCATGTGCACTGCTTTTCTTTTTATTAATTGTTGCTGCAAGAACATCTAGAAGATAGGATGTTCCACATTTCAATGTAGCGAAGGTTTTTCTCTCTTACTAATACTAATTTTGTTAAGTAGATATGCTGCATAAATACATTTCTTTCATTCACTACTTTAATTTACCTTTTATTTTTTTTCAGAATCTCAAAAAATATGTAGGTGATGAAATCTTACAAAAGCTGATCAATTTTGCCCTTAGATATATGTCAAACCTTGTATTGCCATGTAAACGGTAAAATAAACATTCATTGAATAAAGATAAGCAAATAGTTAGTGCTTTGTTGGTTTAATTATCATGTATTCCAAATTTTCTCATAAGTAATTATTCTCTCCTTTATTTTTAACAAAAGATTTCCTTGTTATTTCCTTGTCATAACAAGCAAGGGTGTTGGCAAGATGAATAAAATATTTATGAAAATAAATAACAGGATTGGTAGACCATGTCTAGGATGCCATGACATAATAATAATAGCAATAACCTAGTCTGTCAAGTATTGCCCATTTATTTGTATGCATGCTTAACAAAAAGTAGGAGGTGGGAAAATCTCACTTTATGGTTTATCTGAGATACCGGGTATATTTTCTAAACAGCTAGAATTGATTGTGTCTACCAAAAATAATTTTCAGCAAAGCACTTCAAGTCATGCATGACATAATCTTAGCTTCCTTCTACAATGCAATAATACATTTAGATAATAGAGAGTTCAGATCAATTAATTATTATCTAAGAGCTTGAATTTTTATAAAATTAACTAATTCCTTGAAATCAGTATTATAATTATTTTAAAGTCTTCTCTTACAAAAGTGTTTACTGCTCTGTATGACAATAATTGTTTGATTTAACCACTGAGTGTTATCTAGCTTTGCACTTGCAGTTTTAATGGTATTAAAACTTTGACATTTAGTGTACATTTTCATATTCTTACTCTTTGTTAAAATTTTAATATTGGAATATTTTTCCCTCTAGGGGTACATTTATTGAATTCCGAAGCTCAATGATCAATATTTGCCCAGTTGGGAGAAGCTGTTCCCAGGAGGAGAGAGATGAATTTGTTAAATTTGATGAAGTAAAATGTTTAATAAATATCAAATTAATTTTGTAATATGTTTTTAAGAAAATAGTTTTGACAATTATTTTTGTAAATATTAAAATTAGCTGAAGTCATTTATTTAACTTGGGTGGTTTTTTAAAATTTTCCTTTGCAATCAATATTAGATGATTATTATTTTTATCAAATAAATATGTAAATGCATGTGTATATATACCCTATGTATCCCAAATGTATATATATATATATATAATATATATTGTGATTTATTACAGGAGCACAATGTTAGATTACAATTTGTTGCTGCTTTGAGAACAGCCTTTCCTGATGCTGGTCTTGTATTTGCTATTGGAGGCCAGATTAGTATAGATGTGTTCCCTGAAGGATGGGACAAACGCTACTGTTTGCAGTATTTAGAGAATGACAATATTAAAACTATTCACTTTTTTGGTGATAAAATTGAACAGGTACTTTTCAAAACCATGTTGGATTTTCAATAGGTCATTATGTTCATGTTTCACTAAAGCAATGCTTCTAACTCTCTTTTTTTTCACATTGACTTATTTTTTTCTTAGTTTAAAAGATTTTAATGTAAATCAAATTTAATAAACTAACCAATGCAGGGCCGGTTCAAGGCGGGTACAATGCGTGATCATCACACAGACGCCAAGACGCCCAAACCGCAGAAGGCAGCAAAATTTGTTATAATCAAATTTTAAACAATTCTGGATTCTTCCCATAATTTTCCAGAGAGTGGCAATTGCCTAATTTCACCCAACCTAAAAATGTCTAGCCAATGGTCAATGTTGTTAATAATATTTTTATTTTTTTTAAATATACCTGTTAATTTTGCTTTCTTTAAATTGTCATACCATTATGATGTATGATTAGTTTATTTTTAAACTGAGTAAGTTTTATTGTATAAATTTCATTCTTCAAATTTTCAGGGTGGAAATGACCATGAGATTTATGAAGATCCTCGGACTATAGGTCACAAGGTCACCAACCCTGATGACACAATTAGGCAACTTAAGGAGCTCTTCTTCTCTTAACAAAAGGGGTGTTAAATTTTATAATGTATCTTTAACTTACAAAACTGATTCTTTAATTGCAAGTTATTGCACTTTTTAATTTAAAAGACAGTGGAATTTTTTATTGTATGCCATATAATATAATGTACAAGCTTTTAAAGCATTAGGATTTCATATTTTTATATGATATAATGTAAATGCTTCTGAAGCAGTTCTCCTCAAACTATTAGTTTGAAAAGATATAAGTGTATTCCTATGAAAACTGCATGTATCTTTTTTTTTAGTGCAAAAAAAAAACAGGAAAAAAACAATATGATATCTAAAATTAAGAAGAATTTTAACCAATGTAAAGTTATTAGTATTTCAATGGAAATTAAGGCCCCTGCTTTTGCGTAAATAGATGGCCAATTTCATGTTTCATATTTGTCACTACTACCTGCTACCTGGCTACCCGTACGGTGGACAGAGAAGCCAGGTCAAGGACCTCGAGCATGCTTGATCTGGCCCAGGGGCCATAGTTTGAGGACACCTGTTTTAAGGCATTAGGAATTTAAATTTCATTTCAGCTCAAGACTGTGAGCTGTGGGAAACCTAAATAATTATAACTTTTTTGCCAAACATTGCGGGACACAAGTTACCGGATGGTGTACAATAATTGTATGTTGTTGCAGTGTATGCATTCTGTTAACATAAAAGTGTATTGCACATACTAAATTATTTAACACAATTTGGTGCATTCCTATATGGTTCATATTCATCACTCATCATCAGGATATATGTTTACAACTTCAAGACTTGCTTCTTCAGTATGTGCCACTATTTGTGTTGACAATGATCTCAGGTGGTCTCAGTTATCAATTGGTTTATAATTATTGACCACCGCTGTGCTTTCATTTTTTTTCATTAGTGTATGTATTGTTAGCTAAACTGCGATTTTTTTTTAAAACTTACTTTAAAATTTGCATTGTTAATAAGTAACTTACTTGTTCCTTATCATAAGTACTGCTGTAATTTATGGCATAAATGCAAACTAAAAATATTGATGAGAAGTTGTAAGATGGACCAGATGAGTGGGATATATATATATTGGGTTATTTTTTAATGTTGGTCTCATTTGTAATCTACATATAATAAATATTTTGTTACAAAAGTATTTTTTTTGAGTTGTTTTTATACATATATCTTCTGTTATTGAGATTTTATTTCTCATATTTCTTAGTAAGTAACCTGAATGTGATTCTATGCTACTTATATAAATAAAGAAAAACCTCGGGGCAGTGTTTTTACCACAGTGATTTATGTATTTGTTTCTTAAAACAAGATAATCAAGTATATGATCTTTTCTTGAAGCTCAGATAATAGGACTATAGTCTGGTACCGGGTAACACTAAAAAACAATGCTCCGCTCTGACATAGACATACAAACTTGATCAGGGGCACTGAGACTAAGGTTAGAAAAATAAATCTGTAAGTCATGTGTTGCTGTTGTTTAGTTGAATACCTTACTCCCTGTAACATTCACAACCCTTACCATATCTATCTTCATTCTTATTTTCTCCAGTGTTTTCCTTCCTGATGATCTTTACATCAGTGTAATCATCTCTGTTGTTCAATGCCAGTCTTTGATATTTTTCCATCCAGTTATTCAGTTACTTTCAAGATTTTTTCTCATGTGACCAAAATAAATAAGTTTTTCTCTTTTTGGTCTCATCCATAGCATTTTAGATACCATACATCCATGTTGGTTATTTTCTATGTCCATGCCATTCTTTTCTGACAGCATGTGTATTGCCATGGATCTTTCTATCTCTTCTAATTTTAAGCAAGATTTTCTTTTTTAAGAAAAACTGAAGAATGGCTCAAAAATATATATATTTTTTTTTTAAAGCAATGTGCTAACTTCTTATTTACTTAATTTACTTGACAAAAGATGCATTCAAGAAAATCACTTTATATGGATCCCAATTTGTGCTAACCTTACCTCCCTGTATGCCACCACAAACTTTTTTTACGTCCCAGAACTGAATTAAAAAATAAAATTCTGTTTCACCCTCTTTTATAATTATATACCGGTAGCATATTTATTGCATCATATCTTAAGGGATCATTTCTTTAAACAAAAGCAAATATTACAAACCAACACACTTGATGTATTTTTAAGAATCTCATTTAGCGTAGTTATCTGGCCTTTAATTTTCCGACTCACTAATACGCCGCACTTCCTTCTCTACATAGAGAATTATATTGATAGATACAATTACAATTTACAGTAGATCCCAAGGCTCTGGGTTAAATATTACAATACATGGAGCTTAAAACAGGAGGAAATAGAACATGGGGATTAAAAATATGTTTATTAGTTCAACATTGTAGGATGTCAATATTACAACTCTTTTAACTGAAACAACAATAACAGAAACAATGCCCTTAATGGGTTCGCCAATAATTTCACAAAGGGTAAATTACCATAACAAAAGCATGTCAATACAATCTTGTGGTTCATATTAAATTTAGTAAAGGAACAAGAAAAGTAGGGATAAAGGTAGTAACAGATAAATAAGCTAAATTACACACAACAATTGCTAAAAAAAAATTAATTTTGGAAACCTGCATATTAATAATTAAGCTTTTAATGACAAGATTATACAGAAAATAAAAAACACTAATTGAGAAACCATAATAATCGGTAATTTCAAAAATAATTTTCATACATTTGTAGAAAATACTTCACGTTTTAAATTAAGGCATCCGAATTTAAAAATCTGCATTATGGTTAAATGTGCAAAATGAGTATTCATAGACAAATTAAACATGTTTCAAATTTAAGTTGTTTTTTTAAATTATGTTTACATTTTACATTTTTTCTTCTTAAAAATACAAATAAGTACCCGGAACGTAATTAAATTGAGATAAATCTGAAATTAAAAAAGTTTTAATTTTTATCTTTAATGAGTTTCACTTTTGTGCTTCCTTGTTGACCTTCATAGCTTGTCTCCTTTTATCTAGTTTAGCTATGGTACTGCAAAATAAAGACCTTTGCTAAAAAAAACTGTTTTCCCCCATATATTTAATTCCTACACTCTGCTATTTTGCTTTGGGTTTTATGTACTGGTAATTAAATGCTATTAAAAGTGGCAATATTTTTCCGCACATTTGCTGTTCATTAACAGAAATATCTTCCACTCACAGACAAAATTACAGTGATAAAGAGAGAGTAACATAAATGTTTGTACCCGTAAAGAGTTGTTTTTCTAAAAAAAAAATGTACTGAGGACTTTGAATACATTTGAATATACTGTTCTGTAAAGAATACTATGAATAATGAAGTGTAAATGATCCTAGGTACATCTCTGTGTTTTATGCTGGCTTTAAAAAGTTAGGTTTGTTTAAAAGGTAAAGTAACGGTAATATATAATATAACTGAACACTTAAATCACTATTTACATGTCTAAATTTACCAACAAATAATTGGAAAATTTGTAGAAAAATACCAATAGAATCTTAATACTTAATTGGGGATTTTAAAATATACAAATTGAAAATTTAGTTTTGCAAAAGGCACATTAACAGACACCCCAATAGATTGTAACAATGATGTCTATGGAACAAAATCCAAGCACAGATGTGATCCTTTTTTTGTTGTTTTTGACAAGTTGAAATTGTTCATTCGCAAAAGACTTTCATTTAAAATATTCTTTCTTTGGATGGCATTTTTAACAATGTTCATTTGTGCTTAGACATGCTACGGTTTTTTTTAAAAATGATTGCAGAAAGGAAAAATGTAATTCTTCTGTTGTTTCTTTAAAAATGTTATTTTAAAATGAATTATAAATTATACATTTTTTTTTCCACAAGTAGACTAATAGTTAAATTTTAAATATAAAATAATACAAATACTTTTTTTTTAAAATTTAAAACCTGTCCAAAAAATAGCTACGATAAGCTGAAAATGCATTTTTTAAGATTAAAAATGAATTCTCACTGTCAAACATTATTTTCTACAGTGACTAATGTTGCAGCACATGAAGCTAACTTCAAAATCACTAGATATATATCAGTTTAAAGTTGACCACTTGCAGGCATACATTGAATCCCAACTAAACTTTTGTCATAAGCAATCTTGCAAGCTTTTTTTTTTTTTTCTGTACTAAACTGCCAGTCAAAACCTCAGCAAGTCTTGTTGCAGCCTTCTGTACCTCAAGAAATCTACGCCTCTTTAATACAAACTTGTCATTATATTTTTACTTGAACAAGAAAATTTAATTCCGATGCATAAATCCAATTCCCAAGCTTGCCTTTTTGTTTTGTTTGTTCCATAAGGTAAATTTTTATTATTCCTTTTATTCCTCCAAGTTTAAAAAAAAAATCTCTGTACATACATCATATAGTAATAAGATTCTAGCACACATGATCTTGATAGAAGTTTGAATAGCAGTACAATCTCCTTGAGATATGTGATGTGAGAACTACAGCTAAAATTGAAACTGACTTTCAATGTATTTTTTGGTATTCTTATTCCATTTACTGATGGTTCCCACATCTGTTGTAAGAAAGGAATACTTTGAAGTGTTTTTTTTTTCTTTGGATAACACAGCAGAGGCCCAAAAGAATCAACATTTGACTGCATCCATAGAACTAACTATATATTTATTTGTACTCGTGCTTCAAATTTGGTTTCGTAATAAACTCATTAGTATTTGGCTATATAAAGCCCAAAAAATAGCAGACAAGAAAATTGAAAAACTATGCTACCCCCACAATTTTTAAACATTTTTGTGTGCATGTGTTCAGAGACAATTGTTTTTAAGAAACCCTTTCATTATTGATTTCTGTCCATAAGGCATATGGTTTAATTAAGCCCATTCCCTTTTGGCATGTTATAGCTTAAATTTGTGCATTTAAACATGGGATTCATGGGATTTAGACTATTCATAATTTGCCATTATTTTCTGTTTCATAAACCTTACACATTATTTATAGATAGTATGGATATGGGATAATTGTGTGATAAGTGAAGTCTAATTTGTATAAATACTAAACTAAGAGATCATGTCAGACAGAAATAAGTGTCATTCTTTATTGCACTCTTATTGATTTCTTCACACATATGTCTTTTGTCATTCTGATGAAGAAAAATTGACCTAGACTAGAAATACCACTGTAAGTTACTGTAAGTGTAAGAATAAGAGTAAGACTATTAAGTAGGGCCCTTTTGTTAAAAAATGGCGTTTTAATGGATTTCCATAACACCTGAAAGCTTTGAAAGGGAAATTAACCCTGACCTCAGGTTTCTTTTTAAAACGAATCAGTGCATTAAAAAAAATAAAAGCCTAAAAATCATCCCTGCAAAAGCATATGAAAATATTGTTCAAGCAATCTGTTGTATTCTAAAATGTTATTAAATAACATGCTTTCTGATTTAAAATAGGTTTGAAAAAAAAATTACATTTATAGCAAAAGTTTTATTTTCCAAAACAATTTTTAAAATAGAAAACCCTTCCATTATTATACGTGCAAGTGTAAATCAAAATTTAAATCAGTCACTCTAATTTACAGCTGAAGTTAATATGCTAAAACATAGGAAAATAACTATTGAAGAAAGATTACATATTTTTAAAGTCAAAACAATTACTCCCAGCTACCGGTACCTACTATCTTTTTATATTGAGACAATAAAACTTGTCATTTATGTCTTTGACTATTCTTCACACAACAATTTTACACAATAGCTTGAAATGGTGGTACACAGCATTTTTCATAAAGTTGCCATAAATCTGGTACTCTATATTCCACTCTAAAAGTAATATATCTAATTTAATTTTTGTGTTTTATCAATTGCCTTATGACACTAACACATGCTGTTTTAGAAAAATTTGAAACAGAAATTCCTTTTAACAACATAAATGCATATTGTTTTCAACTATTTTATTTACAAAATCATTACTCTACAAAGATTATATAATGGTATAAACAATTATAGTGAGATGTTGGCATTAAATAGCTAACATTCATACACGCCACTTTTTGAATTTCAATTTATATTTTTTTTATAAAATAATATTTAACAAAAAAAAAATATTATGCCTATGTGACCCACTTTATTTTATTTTCTATAACATAATCTAAAATACATTTAAGGTGTATTTAAATTTAAAAGATGCCACAATCCTTAAACCACCAATATTAAGTAATTATACAAACAATCCCCCTCTTGGATATACTTATAATGGGAATTGATTTTTATTATATTAGCATTATAGGTGTATAGTCTAAATGTCATGAAGTAAACCCTCAAATAAATCACTTCTTCACAATAGGCACCAATAATCCATGGTCAGTTTAGTTTAAACAGTCAATGACAATTATGTTCTTTCCTCTTCCTTCATTTCATAAAGTTTTAAAAAAATGTTATTTGTTGCAAAAATCCTTTGAAGTGCACTATTAATCTGCCAATTTGTCAGGGCTAGTGGGCACAGGTGAATCCCATCTTTCATGTAAGACACCAGGTTTGAGGTGTGTAATTACAACATGAACTGCCTGAAGTTTTTCATTTCTTGGTGGGAGGGTTACAGTTTTGTATGTAACTTGGTCACCTTCCTTTGGAACCCATTCACCATCAATGCTGTTGATGTAAAGTAAAAGCAATTTACACTAATGGTGATTAATAAATAGATAAGTAAGTTCAAAGAAGTTGATTGCTAGTTAAGTATTCATTTTTTATTTGGTTTTTCTATTCAACTCCAAAAATATCCTATAATTGGTGAAACTCTTCAAATTACTTTTTATTTTTATATTTATAAATAAAGTAATTGAAAAAATTTAGTACAACATAATTAAGCACATAAGTGTCCCTTATGTGAAGACAAATTTTAAATAACTTACAACAAACTTTTTAAAATAAAAAATCAATTTATTTGAAATATGAATATTTAATTAATAGGAACACAAATTATATGTATTTTTTTATCATTGTTTCTTATAATTTTTAAATCCATGACAATCATATTTAAAAAAAAAAAAATCATTACTTTAAATAGCACTTTACTGTACAGAGTTTTGAGACAAGGATGATAATGAACAATTTTTTTTTTATTTGTTAGTTCAACTATTATTTTATTTGGTAGTCATACCTATGTAGGCAGTAAGAAGATGCTGACTGGTTACCTATCATATTTAATGAGGGTTGTGACAACTTTGTGAAAACTACAAAGATTATGATCAGATCGTTAATAGATTTCACTTGTGGATAAGTAACATTCACACATTTTTTTCTTAAAGAAATAGATGGCTTGATGAGTTAAATTTAAAACTAAATGTTTCTAAAGTAACATAGATGTGGAAATGAATATTGATCCTAAGCTATTGTCTTTTTTCTATACAAGGATGGCTTACTCTGAAATATGAACAAAAATGTCTTCTTTTTTTCCATCTTCAGGGTGAATAAATCCATGGCCCCTTTGTCTACAGAAACTTTTTACAAGCCCTTTGTATGTTGGTCCTTCAGCAGCACGCTCTGACCTGCTCAGAATAATCATAGCAATCAGTTTTAGAATGTATTTTGATAAATTTGCATTGTCTCATCCCCACAAAATAAAATTCTTTAATCATAGTATTTTATATCAGAAATCCTATTATATATTTGTTTATCTTGAAAATTAAACTAGATATAGTAAGCCTTCGACAATATGGGCGGCCAAATCAGAAGAAATTAAGGGAGAGAAGTGTAACATATCGCTTACTTAAATTTTAAAGTGAACACATTGACATCTCTAAACAAGACTAAGCACATAACAAAACATGTTCATGGATACCACCGTGACAGTATCCTTTAACAAGTCACATGATAGACCCTTACCTACATATTTAAAACACATGTTAACATCTGGATTTGAAAATCGGGAGGGTGCCAAACGACAATAAGGCTGGATTATCTAAGTCATACTCTATATTTTATGGTAATTAAATAAAATTGAGGTGTGTGTATTTTAGCATAGTATTATTACTCCACAGTTTTCATACATAGATTTACCTTTAATGTACAGGTTTTTTTTCCCCTTTGTTTCCCAAAAATTAATATGATTTATTATAAAATTGAAATTTTAAAAATTGTATATAAAAAATGAACATTTTAAAAACAAGTAAATAAACCAGTCTAAACAAATATTACAATGCCATAAAATGTAAAAAGACAAAGTATATCAAGCACTTTCACAGTCAAATTATGTGATGTAGTTCTATTATTTTTTTTCATCTAATCATGAATTCAACTTGGATCTTAGTATTTTTTATAGGAAAGGAGATGCACTGTGTTTCACACAGTATATTAATTTTTTAAAAATATTTCAGTTTTTAACCGTCTCATAATTATTGGACTTCAAAATACACATCGGCCTTGTAGGGGCTAGGAGACAGCATATAAGTTCTAGACTCTTACATTGTTTTCTGTGGCCATAAGAAGTGGACCTAATCCTAGAAAATGTACTATTCGCCACAAGGACAAAAATATCATAGTTCACAAGGGTTGTTTTGTTTTTTTTTAAATATGGACACTATTTTATTAAAATTCTAGATCCTTTAATCCATCAGCTTCTTTCCACCATGAATAATGCATGCTTTTACCACAGAATAAAACAGTTGAACTTTTATGGATATCTCATGTATACGTTGTTTTTTTTAAAAAGAATCACCCAGCAAATGCATTTTATTTTAAAAGATTCATAAAATGCCGTCTAGGTCTCAATGGTAAATTTATGTATGATAACTGACAAATAACCCTGATGCAAATTTTCTAGTTTTGACCAATCCGTAGAGAAAGTAACCAATAGATTTCTATTATTCTCCTAATTAAAGAATATAATAAAAGTTCAAAATGTTAGAAACTACTCAAAGCTATGCTTTATACAGCCTTGCAATGTGAGTAATGGAATACTATTATGAAGGCCATTATGAAGATTAGAAGTTGATATCTTTAACTCCGTATTTGTAATTTTGGTAAGAGGAAGAAGAAAAATTTGATTATCTCTTTGTCAAAAAACAAAACTTTATAATCATTTTTAAAACAACAACCGGAAATCTGATTACTGTTTAACATCCTCAAAAATGAAAACTTATCAACAGTTCTTCAACGCAACTGCTTAAGTGCAGTGCCCCCCCCCCCCCACCCACACCAGGAGGCTTCATTTCATGAAAGAAGATTAGAGTATTAATTTACACTAAATGTTTTAAAACACACCGAAATAATGATAAATATAAACATTTTGAGTATACTTTGCTAAAAAAAAAAAAAAGATAAATAATTATTTTCAAAATCAATAAACAGATTTCCAATAATTATTTAGGAAAAGTTTGGTTTTTTTGGAACAGAATATCGTTATTAAATATAGCTCAAACATTGCTATCTTAGTAACAGATCATGTCCAAAGAAAAAACATACCAGTACTAGGTAATTAAAAATAATTATAATTAACCTGTAACACATATATTATTTAAAATAAGTAAAATAACTTTTTAAAATTTAAGTTTTAAAAAATCAATTCCGTTTATAATTGATACATACATAGACTTTGTTCGTGTGCGTCTGGTAGGGATAGGACTAGGTATCAGAAATTTTCGACCAGGAGAGTCTGAAATTTGAGCACTGTTAATGGCTTGACTTTGGGGAATATCTCTTGGACTTGACATTTCTATAAAAAAAAATGTAATTTGGTAATGTAAGCATTTTGAGTAACTAAGATTCATTATTTACAAAACAAATACCATAACCTAACAAAACTATTGGAATGGTGCGTTTGGGGAGTCTACAATAAATTTGTATTCTCCACTACATTTAACATCCACAAGAAATTTATTACCACACATTCATCATTTAGTGTTAATCTCTAAAACATTACAGGGATGATGCTTTAGGGCTACAAATAATAATAAGCTAAGCAGACATAAGGAGACAATGATTATTGAATAAGCAACACTATGCTCATAGCTATATTTTCTATCTATTAGTAATAGCATCAGACTATATGATTGTAGCCTTATTGTAATAGGCTCCGTGACCCAAAGAAAGGGTGGGAACCAGCCAGGTTTTTATTAGGCCTAACCTTATTGTGATACTGGCTCCTCAAATTTACACAGAGAAACATAAAAGCTCTGTTTTCAAACATTTTTATAACAAATTATTTTTATTCTAAATTTAATGTGACTTTTTTTTTTAGTCTTTAATTTCAGTTGGCAGAGCCAGATAACAGCAATAAGGCTCTATCCTAACTTAGGTACTTAAATACTCTCTTCACTTAAAACAGGTCGAAAAATGATCTGCATCATGTGGTCTACAAATTCAAATATCATTGATTTCCTCATCAATGACATGGAAACTTTTGTGTTCCAGTGACACAAATGAAATTAAATTTATGCAACAGTTTTTTTGTGCCACACACAGCAGTAAGGTAAGTAAAGGAAATTTATGTTTTGATCCCTAATACTTTTTATAAGTTAATCTATGAGAATACAGTTTAGCTTTAGAAATCCTCCATATTTTTCCCATTTGAATATACTGAAGTTGCTAAATAATTAAAAACAACAATAGCAAAACAACACACACAAAAAAGGGAAATGGGGAGGGGTTGAAAATGTCACCAGAACAAAAGATCACTCTCATATGTACAAGATGCCAGAAATCAATCTTACCACTGTCAACTATGAATTAATATTTTGCTGTTGATTCTAAAGAAATACATATTAAATAGCGATGTAGTTTATAATGAATAATTTGTAATACATTTTAGGAATGAAAATAATCAAATAAGAGAAGTTTTAAGTATAAAGGCTATTACTATTAACAACTTATTTTTATTAGGATTATAGTTTTTAACCCACAAACTGTCAAATGCAAATTTGCTGTCAACACTTTTAATTAGTAACTTTGATATGTAATGTAATGAAATGATTACTAAATGATAAATGTAGGCACTTCGGTAAAGCAAGGGAGACTACCGGTACTTAAAAATTTGTATGGGAAATGGGCATTGGCACAGAAGAATCCGAGTTTTTAATTTTTGTATGTTGGTGCTTTTCCATTAATGAAAGGACTAATTTGTCATAAAATTGTGGTATCCCTCCACATGTTCACAAAAGCGGACATCTTGAAATATATTCCAAACTACTGTTTTGCCTTTTTTTATTGACCTTAGTTGTAGAAGTTCAAAGGTATAAGGCATCTTTCCTTCAAAATTTTTTGAAGAAATTAAAATATCATGACTTTTATATCAAATTCTAATAAGCATTATACACTGACGTATAAGTGAGCCAGTTCTCATTGATGTAGGTTGTGTCCGACGTTAGTTATGCTTGTCCCAGTACCTGCATTATCCTAAGGTTGCTCAGCCCAAATTCAACCATGCCCCCTTTTTAATGACAGGAGATGCCATACTTGAGAAATATTAAATTACTTCCACTTTTTACATCCAAATATTTGTATAATTTATGTTTTAGAGTGAGCTTAGAAGGCATTTAATCAAGAATATCTTAATTTTTTTGAGTAAGTCCATATTATAAATGATCATAATTTGCTGAGTGCAAAATGCTGTATTGGGCAACCATTCACAGCCACTTGCATAAGGGCCATAAGGGCTATACCGTAGTACTACCTCAAAGTTTCATTCATAAGAGTTTGCCACGTGCAAAAAAAAAACTAATTATATCATTGGTCAGGGAAAGCTTTAACTTTAATTAAATTAGTCATGTGCCAAAGTTGGAAGTTTAAAATAAGTAGTCCCCAAACAGTATTTTTATTTTAGTAATAAAGGGATGCGTTATTAAATGCTTTGAGTGCTGGGTGGCAGAGTGGTTTAAACTGAGCCAATCTCAAGTTCATGGTTTGGAGTTCAATCCCCATCAAGCAAAAACATCACGAGCACCCCGGTGGATGGGACTCGTTAACCTTGGATGGCTTCTCATCTAAGAGAGGGAAACTCTGAATTCAAACTCCGGAGATGGAGTCCCGTAGGCAGATAGCATTAGCCAAATGAAACATGATGTTGCCTTGGGTTTTGCCAGAGGCGTGGAGAGAAGTGATTTGCTGTGTAGGGAACCAGCTTAAACTAAGAAGAATAAGCCCTTACTTCATCTACACCATCGTCACGTTGTTACAGATGGATGCCAGCAAAAATAAAAAATAGTATATACCGGCATAATGGACGCTGTAGACCTGCTTCTCATTAAATTTACCGATGATTAAGTTACAATTTATCTATAATTGCATAACATTATTAAAATAACTTTGTAATACAGCACTAATTCTAAAAATAAAAGATGCATAAAATTATCATTAAAACAAGAGTTATTGCAAACAACATTATCAGCAGAATGGGGTCACACAATGTGGAGGTGTAGACCATAGTAAAAAAATACCAAACAAAACGGAACTTTAAAAATTCATAGCTCAAAAAGTACTAAATTATAGTAAATCAACTAAAGCTAGAAAGTTGATTCTGGTTTCATTTTTTTCTTTGAATTTCGTTCTACAAAAACATAATAATAATAATTAATATTCTTATAATTTTTTTACGGAATTACTTAATAAATGTATCACTTTATTATACAATTATACTTTGTAATTAAAATTATAAATTTAAGAAGTTCATACTTGATTTGGAGAGCTATGCTGTATTATGTAATAATAGCTTTTAATGTATATTTTGAATTATGAAGATTTGTGTTGTGATTTTTTTTTAATTTTGAATTTTGTGTAGTAGGCTTACAGGCCTAAGTGACTTTGACTTACTAAGTGTTAGAGTTAGTGTATTGACTATTGAATTGTTGAATTCTTGAGTAGTCTTGAGGCGTAAATTTTTTGTGGAGTCTTCTTAGTTCTTAGTCTGAGGCCAGGCCAAAAGCCTAAGGCAGGCTAAGGACTAAGTCTAAGGCTAAGGCAAGGCAGTATAATAAATAATTAATAAGGCAAGGGGGGCAAGGCCTTTCCTTTCCCTTTTCCAAATTCAAATCAATTCATTGTCATTATTGAATCATGATTGACGTTAAAAGGGTTATTGTATTTTGTATTGTAATTTTGGTGGTGAAATATTAGCATGAAACTAATGACTATTGTCTATTGAAAGAAGGGTCTATTTTTATTATTTGCCCTACTCTTTAAATTATTATTATTTACTATTTAGAAAGTATGGCATGGAATTCCGAGGATAAAAAAGCACTTTATTTTTGCGATAAAATAAGGAATTACAATAATTTTTATATTAAAAACTTAGAAATATATGCAATCACTTTTTTATATATATTTATTGCATGTTAACATAAAATACTTTTGTAATAATTATATTATTTAAAAAGTACCTGCAATTTTTTCACTAACACACAATTTTAGTGGGCAAGTTTAATGAAAGGACGAGTTTCCGGTTACCTGATAGTACTGATAGTGATAAGAACCAATAAGAAAAACTATTATTTTTATATTTCTTGGGTTAGTTTATTTTGAATAAAATGACGCACATCCCAAGTTGAAATGAATCAAAACATCCAATCTCCTGAATACCGTTAATAGAATTATAATAAATTATATTTACTCCTTAATCACACCGATCTTATTAGTTACAGTTTATTATAGGAAAGAAAAAAAAAGAAAAAAATTGTAAAAATCAGTGTTCCTTAACATTCTCAAACACCTGGCCAACAGACAATTGGTAAAAATAAAAGCTAGTATCGGAACAGAATCACCAAATCTACGAAGTTTGTTATTGATAACATATAATAATAATATAGTTGACAGTGACGAGGCTAAGAGTGTAAATTAAGAATGTCGATAGATTTGGTCTCTCGGTCTCTTAATTTAGATCTAGGTGAGCATTTTGTAACAAGAAAACGTTAAACAATATTTGAAGGAAATGTTTTAATTTTAACTAAGCCATTTTATTAATACTACGGTTAATATTATAATTTATAATAATTATAATATAATAGGCATGGCATTATTAATTAAAATTTTATTTTGTTAGGCTAGGAATACTAGGCACTAGGATACACACATTCTCATTCAACTTATTTTAAATTATATACTTATACTTATTATTATTTAATTTATTATTAATATTATACTTTTATTATTTATATTAAATTTTTATATTAAATTATAGTGCTCTACTCTCGGTTTAAGTTGTAAGTGTAAGTCTTGTACTTGTATTTATTATATGAGAATTGAAGAAATAAAAGTAAAAGACATTCTCAGCTTCTCAGAGACATTCCACATTTAATATAAAAATATAATGTAATGTAGTAGTAGAATATGTTTAAGTGAATGTTTATAATTTTGCCTTATTTTTAGACATCCTGAAGTCCTGAGCTTAACAGATAGTGTTATTAAATTAAAGGGTAGAGTTATACACTGTCGGCTGTGCATAACTCTGAGAGTTATTCCCAGCCGACTGCGTATAACTCTCAGTCGGCTGGGAATTTAGCCAAATAATGTTTATTACCGCTAGTTTGGCAATTTAAAAAAAAGTATTATGCGTAATTAGCCGCGTTATGGGTTCTTTTGAACTATATCTTTTAATGTGTTTAACGTAAGACGTAAAATTTTAATTGAATTAATTTTAATTAATTTTTAATAATAATAATAGTATTAGTGCTATTATTAGTATTATTGCTTGTATCTTATAAATTATAAGTCTAATTCAAAGTCTAAATTTCTTAGAGTCTAAGACTAAGAAGATGATTATGCCTTAAGGCAGCAGTTCTCAACCTGTGGGTCGCGACCCCTTCGGTGGTCAAATGACCATTTCCCAGGGGTCGCCTAAGACCATCGGAAAACACACACGCTCAAAAGTTACGAAGCAGCAACGAAAATAATTGTGTGTTTGGGGGTCGCCACAACGTAAGGAACTATATTAAAGGGTCGCGGCATTGGAAAGGTTGAGAACCACTGCCTTAAGGCATTTCCTTGGTTTAAGTCTAGTTCTGTATTCTGATTGATTAGGTTTTTATATGTTGCTATGACTATGTGGTTGGTTTCACTGACTAATTCAGGAAATACATTCTATTTATTTTTAAAAACTCATATAATGTATTTATTTATTTAATTATTTTTTTTTTGGGGGGGTCCTGTCCGTTCGTTCACCATACAACTACGCTACAGTAAATTAAAATTACATTAAAACATTACTAAACATTTTTGCCCCCCCCCCCGGTTTTGCCCCCCCCCGGACAGTTAATCGATTTTTTTGCCCCCCCCCTAGAAAGTTTTCTACGGGCGCCCATGCCCCCTGCCCATACAGCTATTTTTTTCTGCTACTCTCCACCCCTGATTATAATTCTAATCATGTTTTAACATTTTTTAGCCAAAACAAAAGTGAAATAAATAACCGAGCTGTTGGTTCATTCTCGAGAACAAAAATAAACCTAACACGTATCATTCAATCTTGACTGGCCCTTTCCTGGAATTGAACTCCAAACCACCAACTTCAGGTTTGCTCGGTTTAAACCATTCGACAACCTAGTTATATTATTTACGAGGTACCTTTATCGAACGATACTGTAACACATAAAGTATATAGACCTCACGTGACTTGCCGATTGCGTATAACTCCGCTTCGTTTGCCTTTATCAGTATATAATATCTCTCTATATATTTACTACTATTATAGTAATAGGTTGAATATTATATTATTATTATTATATTAAGCATATGATTCATATATTTAGATTACTTTATTATATTTAATTAGGCCTACGTACTTTGTTATATACATAAATAAAAATAGGCCAACTGCCTATTATTATTATTATCTAATACTAAATTTGCAAGGCATAGGCCAGGCACATCTGAGTTTATCTCCTCCAGTTCAGAAACTCTTGTCCAAGACAAGCAATACTTTGTAGGTAGTCTATTACTACTATTAATATAAAAATTAAAATTTGATGCAGTCAGTTATTATCATCCACAAGGCCTATACTCGGGTTTGTCTGTATTGTGGAAAAATGAAATATTCTGATCGAAATAAGAGTTATCAGATTAGCCTACTTTGAGGGCACTGTCCAAAACGCCAAAACAATTCGCTTTTTAGTACCAATTAAGTCAGGGGCGTCCACTGTCTACACGGAGGGTTTGGGGGGGGGGGGGGGGGGGTGGGTAGATGCTTCCAATCTGAGGAGTTGGGGGTGGGGTTGAATTTCTCCAGGAAATCAAATTAACAGAGTGGCTATTCGGACCCGGGTGATCACGTGAGGTCTTTATAAAAAGTGAATGGTTTTTATGTCTTCAAAGTCATTCTAGGCGATATTGTTCAATTTTGGCCACAACGTAGCGGATGACCTTTAAAGAAGTAAGTATGTTTTTATTCAAAATAACATGATTTATTGGAAGTGTCAAGTGTTTTAAGTGGAAATGTGAAATAATGTATAATAATTTTTGAATTAAAAGTTTTTTAAGCTAATTCAGATTGATCAGGTTTAGGGATACATTTGAGGGTTCATGTTAGGTTTGGGGATACATTTAGGGTTGAGGTTAGTTTAGGGATACATTTAGGACTTAAGTTCGTGGGTCACGATAACCAAGATGGCGGCCGCGGGCTGATCTCTAAGAATTGTTTTTTTTTGTTCAAAAGAACATTTTTTTTATGGGAAGTGTGAATAGTAATAATTTTTGCAGTGAATTAAAATTGAAGTATCCACTTCTGATACCGGGTCCAAATAGCCGCAGCCAAACTTTTCATTACAATTACAGATAAGACAGTAGCCGATTTGCCGCCAAAAAAAAAAGCAACTTTACTTTGATCTTGAATCTTGATTGATGTCATGTTAATGATTGTAGAACTATATTTAAAATAGAATTCAAAAATACAATAAAATTATAAACATAAACGTATTATTACTTGCTTTTAGCTGTACGTCACATTGTTCTTCGTGTTTCTTCGACGCTACATGAAAGTCTTCAAAATATGGCACATTTCTCCATTGATAATAATCGCTCTAAGATGGCAAACCAACAGGAAGTATCCGTCATAACCGTCACGTGACCAAACAATTATACAAACTTTAACACGTTGACGGCACATGAACTCACACATATACAAATCGAGCATATGTCTGTGTGTGCCGTTGTGGCGCTTGTTTCTCTCTTTTGCAGATTTCCACAAACGTTCGATGCTTTGGGTATTGGCTATTGGCACCTGAGTTTGGATCCAAAAACAGAATGAATGACCGTTTGATGAGTCAATCCCGGAGTGGTGCCAATTGCATTATATGCTCTCCATTGATCTGAAATGACTGTTGTGCCCAGCAGGATGGGTGCTGTGATTATCGGCATAAGTGTAATGTGTAGTTGCTGATCTATCTTGTACAAAAAACATGAAACACTCAGTAATCTCCTGACTGAAAAATGCCTCCAAAGACCTATTGTTGTGGCAAAACTCGCCCGACATGATTTTTTCTGCTTGTAAACAGACTCGTCGATTTCAACTGAGAATAAACATGACTTACCGGTGTAAATTATGTGAATTTTTTGATGGATGAAGCATGAATGGATCTTAACACATGTGTTTTGGGAAATAAGGCCCATGGAGGCCCTTTAGACACCCCTGACACAGAGTTCTACTCCTTTTCCTGCCCTCGGGGTACTTTTCGGTTGCTTCAGACAGAGCGATCATTTTCACCATTGTGCATACAATTATGTTTTATTTGAGCTAGGTGTTACTGAGAAAGTTGTCTGCATACTTATTAGTTATTATTATTATTCTCTCTCAAAAACATTTTAATGATATATTGTGTAAAAATTAGCATAAGTACTCGAATGGGGTGCTTATCCCATGAGGCATATTTAAGGGCTCTATTTTTTTCTAAAAATTCATAGGGGTCATCTCTATCCAATTCAGAACCCCTAATCCTGATCCAAGGATTCACAACATTATCGTAAACATGATCATTTTGATTGTCTTCATTACTTTCCTGATTGTTTTCGTCAGTGTCAGATTCACTGCTAGACAGCAAGAGATCCAGAGGGTTACGTCCCAAGAGGGTTACGTCTCAAGAGGGTTACGTCTCAAGAGGGTTACGTCCCAAGAGGGTTAACGAAAAAGCTTTCGGGTGACCAGCTCTACTACCAGCAATGCTGCTAGTACATGAATTTCAAATATCATAGTCCAGAGTTTCCTAAGCGTTTTGGAGTCAGAGTACCGTTGCTGCACCCATGTCTTTTCAATTTTGCTCTAAGCCACATTCTTTGTGCACTGTAAAATAGCACTTTTTAAACAATCTAATCCATTTTTGAAACCTTATACTTATACAAGAAGACATACCTCAATAATTTCACTTGACTCTATCAAAACAATATTTAATTGATACAGCATAGGCGCTGCACAAAACCAACTGCTACTTTAATAAGTACAGAGTACCAAGAAGTTGGAGAAGTAAAG